TAATAAAGATAATAAGTAAGAAAAGAAAGAAGGCGTAGAGTTACTACCTACCTTTAATAAGTTAACTTAGTAGAAAAATTATATTAGGAAGAGTAAGAAAGAGAGATTCTAATTACTCAGATTCTCTAGGAGAGAAGAAATAGTAAGTAGAACTTTTTAATAGTTAAGTTATAAACCTTTTAATATAATAGTTCTAATATATTAAATAGAAAATAAAAAGCTATTCTAGTACTTTTAAGAGGTATATAAGGGATTAACCTACTAAAAGAAAGAATAAATTAAAGCTTTTATAAAAGAATATACTAATTTTCAACTACTAAGTTAATTAAAAAAGAATTTAATATTAATACCTTTAAGATTAAAATAGTTAATGCTTTCTTTAAGATCTGGGGTATTTAATAGTTAGAAAAGAGAGTAGTAGTTTATATAAATAGTATTACCGCTTAATTCGGCCTAGTAAAATAATACCTTAAGTACCTATATTAAAACAAGTCTCTTCGCTTAATCCTTTACCTTATAGTATAATAAAACGTTAAAATAATCTCGAAATATATTCCTAGTTTACTAAATATTTTAGTAGATACTTTTTTAAGGAATTTAGATAATATAATAACCAATTAGCATCCTTTTTATAAATAAAGCCTTTGATTAATTATATTAATTTTATAGCGCCTAGAGTTTCTTAGCTTACTTTTACTTTTATATATCTTAGTTTTTTTATAAATACTTATAAAGTATATAACTTTTATATCTACTTATTTAAGATTTTCTAAGCTAAGAGATTATATTTAGCTGTCACGGGTCGAATGTCGCGATTCGGTTATTCTTCCTCGTGACCGCGGGACAAGTGGCTGCCTAAGCGAGCATGCATGTCCCACGCTTCAAGCAAACAAACAATGAAGGAAAACTCTTCAAGCAAACATGCCAACACACAACTCCCTCAGAAAACTCTTTAAGCAAACACGACAACACATCAAATCCCTCATCGTGGCTTGATAAGGGATGTGGGAGACGCGGGGGATAAGGAGCTGTTGGGTGTGTGGTGTTTCTGGCATAAGAACCTCGGGTTTTCTCCTCAGCTAGCTCTTCTCTCCTTAGCTTTAGATTCTAAGTAGTTCAATGAAGGAAAACTCTTCAAGCAAACATGCCAACACACAACTCCCTCAGAAAACTCTTTAAGCAAACACGACAACACATCAAATCCCTCATCGTGGCTTGATAAGGGATGTGGGAGACGCGGGGGATAAGGAGCTGTTGGGTGTGTGGTGTTTCTGGCATAAGAACCTCGGGTTTTCTCCTCAGCTAGCTCTTCTCTCCTTAGCTTTAGATTCTAAGTAGTGGAATAGCAGTATCCTTCACCGTTCCGTTACATTAGCTTAGCTAGTAGATTTATAGGCTATTCTTAACTAGGCTTTATTAAGAGTAGTAGAAAGAAAACGAGGTTTTTTAATAACTAGAAGATTATATATAAACTTAATTTAAGTAAGTCTTTCTACTATTCGCTTATTATATAAAGAATAAGTATATCCTATAAATATTTAAGAGTCTACTTATATAATACCTTTTATTAGATATTTAAGCGTTTTAAGAGCTATAATAAATATATAAGACCGAGCTTCTTTCTAATACTTAAATATACTTAATTATTTCTATTCTAAAAAAGCTTTATTAGGTACTACTAAGATAATATAATTACCTAAATTCTAAAGTAGCGCTAAAGCTAGTATTCGTAGCTTTCTTATATACTAGCGAAATTATATATACCGAATTAGAGTAATAAAATAAAGTTATAACTTACTATATTATCTACTAAATAATAACTAGGTTAAAGAACTCTTTAATAATCTAAAGACTTTAAGAGTAAGGTAACTAGTATCTTTATCTAATCTACCTAGGTTTCCCCTTTATTTCAAAGTCTAATAATTTTATCCTATATCTATTCTTACTATAGATATTATACCGACTCCGGCCGCTATTAGTATAGCTTCTATAAATTTACTAACTCGTTAGATATAATATAATATAAAGAAAGAAGTAATAAAAGTAGGTTCTTAAGAAACTAAGAGAAAGAGATCTATATATATATAAAAGAATAGCGTTAGAGGGTTATAAAAGTAGGATCCTTAGTATTTATAAACGAGTCTAGAATTCGACTTAATCTTAAATAAGAAATTAGTATATAGTTATTAGATACGTAAGACAAGAGGGTAAATTTTACTTAAATTAAATTAAAATCTTATTTTAAAGTAGCTACTTATTTTATAGTTATTATAGTAATTTTAAGTAAAAAATTATAGTTCGTAGGAAATAATAATCTTCCTCAGCCTATATAAATTTTAGTATATTCTAATAGCTTAGTATTACTAAGCTGTTAGAATAGACCTATAGTAATACCTTAAAACAATTCTACGCGAGGGTACTTAATCCTGGTCCGAAAGACCTCCGTACCGTCTAGGGGATAATCCTTTAAATCGGTCATTAATATCACATGGCCGTCCAATTTCAAATGTCTACCTAGATATTCTGTAAGAACAGAAGAGTATCTAGAAGCAAATGCTCTTAAGATCGACAACTTGCCTTCATCAAGAAGCTTTTGAGATAAAATTCTATTTTCATTTGTTAATATAGTCGACTACTGCACTATGGTTCTAATCTAACTTCGCTTGCGAGGCGATTCGGCGAAGCTGGGTGAGGAAAGGTTTCCAATAGGCAAACAAGTAATCTGAGATACGGGATGAGCTCACAGAGATTCTTTGTGGCAATCGGGGAATTTGTCCTGCTTCGATGAAGTGTACTGGCCAATGATTCATTGTACGACTTCCGAAGTGAACAAGTTGTGTGCTCATAGTGGATCCAATTTGGCATTTCAGGAGAGCAGTCCTTGAAAATGGCGAACCTGTCAAATAACCATTACATAAGAGGGGCCAACTTAGAGATGCGTATCGTTGTACCTCGTTCAAACCACAAGCGGCTATTGCTATCCTTCCATTCAGTCTTCGTGTGTTGCCCCCAGTTCGGGCCACTGACATTGTTGCATCGAAGTTTTCGAACCAAGAGGCGACACAGTTTCGAGTTCCCCAAGCTTGGAAGTGTATGGGCTGCCACGAGGCAGCTTCTATGGGTCTCGTCTGAACTCGGTAATAGCCACGGCCACCCTGTTCCACGAACATGGTCGGATTTATAACAAGAAGGCAAGGGTCGAATTCTTGGCTCCCCTAGAGAATGTTTTTATGGTTAAGAGTGCATTCAAGATATGATACTCGTCTACTGCACTTCCTAGGCCTACGCCGTCTATATACGGTGTGGTTTATGAGGAGGCTTTCACTTACTCCTGCCGGCATTGTTTTCCCCTTGTGCTTCCTTGCAGCTGTATTCATCCCGTCCTATACGAATCCACCAGAGGATTACGATGGGTATTTGAACTCCTATCAAGATTCCAAGACACCCGGACGAGGAAATAAATGAAAATATGTTTATAGCAGCTACATTCATTGATCGACCGCAATGTCTCTACTGTAAGAGGGCAGTAGGAAAAGGCAACTACAGAACTGAGACAGCTTTTGGGCCCACAACATGTATATCTAAGTGTATGCGAGTATATCTTCAGATAATCTGGCATCGGAAGAATTGAAATAGCTAGACTCAAACCCTCTTCCAACTACTCCACCAAAGCCCCCGACAACATCAACCCCACCGAAATCCAATACCACAACCACATTCAATCCCAATCCCCGCAATCTACCCAAGAACCACAGATTTCAGCAACAAGCAACAAGCAACCCCGCTACAAATCCAGCAATACGGCTCCCAATAACCAACAACTCACCACAACACCAGAACCAGCACGAAATGCAAAGCCGCAAAAGAACGATACAGTAGTCCCGGTTAGGGCCTGCGAGTCCACGAACGTCAATCACAGATCTGGATCTTAATAAGGATTCCACCAAGAAAACCCTCGAGTTCAAGGTTACAAGTCCATGGCCCACCAGTATCGAAGTACACCCAACCTGTGAGGAGTATTCAAGGGGGGAGGTATATGAGGAGATGTGTAGGTTGCCTGACTAATATCGATGGGTCTACCGGTAAGGCGGCTAGCTCATATGGACAGAGTTTCATTTCGAGGTTGTGGGAATGGAAGGAGGCAGGAGAAGTGGTTTGTGAAGATTACTGTCACAGCCTATAGGGAGGAAGAATGAGGAGGACAAGATGGCATTGTTGGGTGGGTAAATGGCAGTACGGAGATAATAGGTGACCTTTTAAAGAACAATGAAGCAAAACTTCAAACATCAAATCCCGTAAATGTACCTCCTACCTAGCTTACAACCACGAAGCATCTGATCTGATGCCCGTATGTCAGGATCCACAAAGGTTTCAACGACGTATCACAACCACATCACAATACACAAACAATCAAGTCTCACAAGCAGAAAATAGCGATGTATGTCAACTTTTCATATTTCTTCTGGCAGCAGGTAAAAAAAGAATTACTATCTTACAACGAAAAGGCAATGGTACCGACAGCAATCCCAAAATTCTTGTCCCAACTACGAGCATAGTGCACCACAAGGGCATTCTATGGCTGCGGCCGGCGAGATACAAGAAGGGGGGAAAGATCTGGGCTTCCAAAGAAAACGAACACCGACGACGAACCGAAAATCTAATTACATGATGTGCTGCCCCCTCACTACGTCATATCAGACATAGAAGAAATATGAACTGGGGAAATGAAAGCAAAACGCTATGAAAACGCCAAACCATGCCATGCGCCCTGGTATTGTAAACAATCAAAACAGAAAAACAGAAATGCAGAAGATGCCTCAGATTCCCCCTACCGCACAACAATCTGGCATCTGAATTTTTCCCCTCCCACAAAATCATTGTCCCTCCCATTATTGCTTATCCTTTTTGTACTCCAACAATGCATGCACCATTTTTGATGAGATTTCCAGAAAAATGTTCTAGAACCGCAAAATAGAAGATGGTGCAATCTTCCATTTTATTTATTTTGCTTCAGGCTTGTTTGCTTGAAGAATCTCTGCCAAGGTCTTCGCAAACTCAGAAGTTTTGACCTGTACGAGCCAAGTCTCCAATGGTTTTGAATCATCGCCCACTGTCGTGATCTTCATCGTCTTGCCCTCTGACTTGTATTCCCCAGAAAGCAAAGCTTTATTCATAACAATGGTTCCGCTTGGGTCGGCACGAACAAGAATTCTCGTCGCCTTCGTGAGCTTGTGTCTGAGAACTCGTAATGGACCAAGACCCTGTTTATCCCAAGAAGCTCCATTCCACTTCTGTATCTTAGCGCGAACTTCGTGGATAACATCCTCGTCTTCCTCGCCGGGACCACCGGCAGTCAAGTCAATCTGTTCGTGGTGAACTCCATCTGGATCCGCTTCGTCACCCTCAGTTGTAACTCCGGGGGTAGTAGCTCGAGAAGTGTTTGTTGAGCCTGCAACAGAAGGAAACAACGAGGAGGTCGCGCTTGTTGCACCAACACCAAAACCAAAACCAACACCTGCAGGCTTCGCGCCACTTGAACTAGCCGGGCTCGTTCCGAATCCACCAAAAGGCGCTGGCTTGCCATCTTTGGCATTTCCAAATAGGTTGCCGAAGGCATTCACGGTATTAGTTGTTGGCGTAGATGCTTGCACGACAACTGCAGGAAGCCCGCTGCCATCACTGTTAGGTGTGGCTGCTCCAAACTTGATTGGAGTATCTGACTTCCATAGCTGATCACCAGATGAACCAGTGGGTTTTTTGAGAGATGCAAATAGGTTTTTGTTCTTGGGAGGCTGGGTATTTTCCTTCTCGTCGGAAGATGAGGTGGGAAGGACTCTAATGGGATTACCATCCTTATCCTTGGCAATTCGGTCAAATAAGCTTCGGACGGGTGTACTAGTGCCTGAACCTGGAGTTTGTGGTGCTTGAGATGGTGTTCCAAAAAGACCCCCAGAAGCTGCTAGCTTCTTCGTAGAAGCAATGCCAGCGCCAGTATTCTCTACTGGTGTGACTGGTGTGCCAGGACCACTCTTGTTTTCTTCGTCTGGTTTGTATTTGTAAGACGGATCCTTGTTTTCGGAATCACTCTCGCCCTCGGTTTGGTCATCATCGCTTTCTTCGTCGTCTTTGTTGACTTTTGGACTGCCACCAGAATCAGAAAGATGGGCAAAGATGTTCTTCCCAACTGGCTTCGAAGATACACCGTCAAAGATGGAACGAGCAGGTGTAGAAGAACGAGAAGCATTGGCAGAGCTGAGCACGCTTGTTGCTGGGCTTTTTGTGGAGACTGCTGGTCCAAACAAGTTTTGCGACTCTGGTTTCTTCGCAATTCCAAATTTAGGCACGGTAGCTTTCTTGCCGTCTTCCGCCAACTTCTTCTTTTCCAACTCGCGCCGCTTCCAATACTTTGCTTCCCATTCGGTCTCGGCCTCTTCATCTGATTCATACTCGGCCTCCTTGGCCTTCTCCATTAATTTTTGCTCAGAATTGGCCTGGTCCTTTTCTGCTTTGTTTTTGAATGCGTCGAGGAAGTTGACAGGGGCACCAAAGATAGGAGGCTTGATGGCGTCGGTCTTGGGAGCACCAAAGTTGGGAGCACCAAACATAGGAGGCTTAACCACGTCGGTCTTGGGAGCACCAAAGTTAGGAGCACCAAACATAGGAGTACCGAAGTTGGGAGCCTTGACGACATCGGTCTTGGGGGTACCGAAGTTGGGAGCCTTGACGACATCGGTCTTGGGGGTACCAAAGTTGGGAGCCTTGAGGGCGTCGGGCTTTAGAACAGATCCCTCGGAAGGGGTCGGGGAAGGATTGGCGAGACCAGTCATGCTACCTGCTGGTTTAAAGACTGAAGGGCTTCCGACTGATGGCGATCCAGAAACTGGAAGACCCCCAAAAGGATTGGAACGTGGCTTGTCATCGGATAATTGAGACGATGGTATGCCCTTTTCAGGAAGGACTTTTCGTGGGCTTGTTTTAGCTGGGCTATCCAGAGCTTGTTGGAACAGCTGTAAGGTGTTTGAACCCGCATTTGCTTCTCCATAGAAATCCTTCATTCTGGCTTGCTTCAATGGTCTCGAACCTTGGCCACTTTCATAATCGTCCTTTGTAAGCTCCTCGCCCTTTCGCTTATTCTTGGCTGGGGAGACAGGTCGTGCTGCAGGCTGTGGGGGAACGAACGAAGGGGCCTGAGAAGAGCTTCCATTGACAGCAGGTTGAGGGCGGTTTTCGGTAGCCCAGGCATTGGCAGGTTTCGTTGGCGATCGATCCAGTGACCCTTTACCGAATAGATTAAGAGGAGCAGAAGGCTGCACTGTCTTGATTCTCTTGCCGACATTTTGATTCTCTTGAATAGGACCCTTCCGAGCTTTGCGCTTGATCTTGGTAGCGGCTTCAACAATGTCTGCTTGGGTGCGTGAGAGAATTATACCTCGGAGTGAGTTGAAGTACATTATGGCGGGGTACATGTTACAAGCGAGATCAAGAGACACCATTTTCTGGTAACGGTCAAAAGCTTCCCTTAACATTCTCATTCGGTACCCTGAATAAAATTCCAGTTCCATTTCCGATGTGAAATCAGACGGGACCCATTTTTCCATCTTTTCGATGGGGTATTTGTGGGCATAATAAAATCCTGGAAACATCCTGGGGTAGTTGTTTGGGTCGCCGTTGTCGTCGAAGTAGGTGTTTGGAGCGATCAGCTTGAGACATGAGTTCCGAATTACCTGCTCTTCTGGTCCATCTGGGTCCTTTTCTCTAGTCTGTGAATTCTCAAGCTCTCTATCAACCTTGCCCAAAAGAGAAACGACGTTCGGATTAGATTTGATGGCTGATTGGGTCGTGGACTATGAGAGAAATGGTTAGCAGGAGATAAATGATAAGGAGGCATGAAAGTTTGATCGATCCAATCAAGAAGGTAGTGGACAGTGTTGGGGGAAACTTACAGATACACCTTGACCATTAGTTAAATTGCCTGATGGTCGATTATTTGCCAATGCAAACAAATTCGCAGGTTTCGCAGTACCGTTGGGTGAGCTTGCAAGTGTCTCCTGCATAAGAGGCTGATCAATCTTGCTCAAAGGCTCATTCTTAGATGGGCTTGTATTGGCAAACGAGTTGTTCGACGATGTTGCCTTGAGTGGCGACCCGCTGAAGGAAACCGAGGATGGTGGCTTGAAAGAGTTGGCAAACAGATTGCTTGAAGATGGTGCCTTGAGACTTGAATTACCAAAGAGGTTGCTTGTCGGTGGCACAGTTCTCGAAGCCTCACCATCGCTACCCGAAGCTAGCGCGTTTTGTACTGTCGAAGAAGTAGACGATTTGTTTGCAAATGGATTTACCCAGGACGTGGCAGGCGCTGAAGATTCAGCCGTCTGGCCATCTTGGTTCTCAGCAGAAGTAGTTGACGATTTGTTGGCATTTGCGAAAAGGTTAGGGAATGCGTTCGCTGGTGCCAAAGGTTCAGCGGGCTTGGTGACCTGCTCAGAGATGCTGTTCAATGCAGGCGCTGCCGGTGAAGGCTCAGCAGGCTTGGTGATTCGATCAAACAGGCTATTGGATGCAGGTGCCGCTGAAGGCTCATCAGGCTTGGTGATTCGACCAAAGAGGCTATTGGATGCAGGTGCCGCCGTCTCATCAGGCTTGGTGATTCGACCAAAGAGGCTGTTGGATACAGGTGCCGCCGTCGAAGGCTCATCAGGCTTGGTATCCCCATTGGAGAGACTGCCTGATGCTGCTACCGGCGCTTGATTATTGTTCGCAAAAAGGTTCGGGCCATTTGATGCGGAGGGTTGGGAAGTAGATGCACCGACTCCCGCAACTGAAGGGTTTGCAGAAGCCTGGTTACCGAACATATTGCTGGATATGCTGCCAAGTGTGTTTGCAGTTTGCGTAGTAGCGGAGGACAAACTGAACGTAATACCGGTGGTGGGTGCAGTGTTAGCTGGAGGGCTGGTAACAATACTCATAGCTGAGTCGTTACCTGAAGGACTGGCAACCTGGTTGGCACCTGGGGTTGCTGATGTTTGATTCCCGCCCTGGCCACCGAAAGTGAATGGAGTGCTCGAGGCACCGGTTTGTGCAGGTCGACCAAAGCTAAAAGTGACTGGAGTACTCGCGACACCGTCTTGTGCGTTCGAAGTGGGAAAGAAACTTGAAGTTGATGGTGGCGCTGCCTGGGCAGGAGCAGGTGTAGATGTGCTCGAGGCACCGGTTTGCGTAGGTTGACCAAAGCTAAAAGTGGCTGGAGTACTCGTGACACCGTCTTGTGCGTTCGAAGGGGGGAAGAAACTTGAAGTTGATGATGGCGCTGCCTGGGCAGGAGCAGGTGTAGATGCGGCTTGACCGAATATATTGTTTGAAGAGCCTCCAAAACCAGGGGTTGGGGCAGAGGTGTTGGCTTGGGAGCCGAATGTGAAGATGTTATTCGAGGGTTGAGAGCCAAACACGTTCGACGTTGGCGCTGCTGTAGTCTGGGCAGGAGCAGGTATAGCCGGAGCTTGAATATTGTTTAAAGAGCCTCCAAAACCAGAGGTGGGGGCAGAGGTGTTGGCTTGAGATCCGAATGTGAAGATGTTGTTCGAGGGTTGAGAGCCAAACACGTTCGACGTTGGCGCCGCTGGAGCTTGGGCAGGAGTAGATGCAAATGCACCTTGGCCAAATCCTCCGAAGGTGGAACGATCGAAGGGTGAATTTTCTGGTGGTGCTGGAGATTGCCATTGAGGGGCTCCTGCTGCCGTGAAGTCGAATGATCCTGAAGCTTCAATCGCCCCAAAGAGAGGACCCTGAGGTTGCTCGAAAGGATTGGCCCCGTCGAATGCAGGACCATATGGGTCCGCTGGCATCGGTGCAAATTTTGCTTCGTCGGACATTGGCATCTGGAATGGAGGGCGCGAACCGTGTCGTTGAGGCTTTTTGGACGATCTGATAGATCGTTGAGCCATTTGCGCCGCTGTCGCGCGCACCGGAGGATCTGGGGGGGTGTCAGGCATGTTGCCTAGCAACTGCGCGCCCCAGCAGCAGTTGGTTTAGATGGATTGAGGAGGATAGGTATCGCAACTGAAAACTTGAAAACTTGAAAACTTGAAAACTTGAAGAAGAGAAGGAGGTGGGTGTGGTGTAGGAGAGCGCGTCGTCGCAATGTCGAGAAGAGAAGGAGAGGCTGAGGGAAGTCAAAACAATCCTTGCTGGAATAAAATCTATTGGGCGGGCTGTACGGTGGGGCGGAGGCACGACGCCGCCTGTGCACGTGACATATGACCAGGGTACCTCCTCGCAAGTATCTATTTACCTGATTTTAGGTAGTAAGATACTTACCTAGTTAATACACTATATAAATAATAATAATGATATAAAATTAAGTTAAAAAAAAACTCTTTATTTAATATAAACTAATAACCTTAATACTAAAAACGTATATAACTTTTTTACTATAAGTGTTAGAAGACGAGGGTATAATATAGAATAGATAAGCTAGAATACAGAGAGAAGCTAGCTAAAGGGCGAGCAGGGCTCTAATATAAGAGCTATCTATCAGCCTAGAAGCGTCCGGAATAGGACTAGGGTCTTCAATGGAATATGCTAGTGCCAGACAGTGCTAGAGAGCTGAGCCGAGAGTGCTCGTGTCGTAACGATTGCCGCTATAAAATCGAAAGACGATACCCTAGCGTCACTAATCCCTCTGTGGACGAGACTCTTGGTAAGTCCTCATCCGATCCAATCCAAATAAGTGTACTTCTAAATCCAAATCCAGATCGAAGGCTCTTTCTAAGCACATGCCGATAGCCAAATGCAAAGTCCATATCTCCTCCGTGGTCCAAATCCTCGTCCGAGAGGCCCTTGATGAGCACAATCGACATCTGTTCATCAGTATCCATACTAAATCCAAAGCAATGTGATATATCCGTCCCTAAACAAATGAAAATGTCGGTTCTATATCCATGCTTTTGTACCTGCTTCCAAACAAGTGCGAAGCGAGTTTATTCCTCCACGTATTTCCGTCATCGTTCCTCCGGGGTCAAAGGGGTGAAAAACGAAGCCTCTTCTGTCTGAATATCGTACCTGCTTGCGCTCGTGATTATACTGCTTGTACTCGCTTAAAGTAAAGGGGGATAATTCGTACTTTGCTTGTTGGTTCGAAAAAGAGAAGTATCGAGAAGTGAGAAGAGCCTTGGTAGAAGCGAGAGTTGTCTCGGTTAGGTGTTTTGCTGCTTCCAAGTCAGTGGAAGGTTCCAAAGAATCATAAGCTTCGCAAGGTCAAAGTCGGTATGGCACATGGGGTATAGCTTACTGGTTCATCGCGTGCTAGCTTAACTGATTGTACCGAGTTGACTTGTTTCTTCCTTCGTAGAACTCGCTGAATTTGAAAGGGGTTTCGCTCTAATCTGTCCGACAACTACTTGATCCTACGATCTAATCTGTCAAGTTCCTAATTCCAGCTATCCTGCGCCTTGTAATTGTCCTAAGCGTCCTGGATCGTCTGGGTCTTGTCTCGTCGAAATCGTGACATCAGTTGTTCGTGTCATATTATAACCTACTTGTGTCGTATTTGAGCTCTCTCGTCTTACAACCAATAAATCCTGAGCATTATATCGAATCGGGTACCCATGATAGAGGGGTTTCTGCTAGCTCGCTGGGGTGCAAGTAAAGCCTATTCGCGAGTGCAGAAACAAGTCGGTTTTGAGAAGAGTATAATGCTCAACACTTCAGCGAATTTGACAATCCAGATTCTGAAGATCCAACTATATATAGTTAGTAACCCTCTTTATCCCTCGAAACTGGTCGTAATACTGGTATAGAGACTTCTCGAACATCCTTCTCGATGCCCCCCTTAAACCAACCAGGAGCGACAACCCTGGTGACACCAACAATCAAGTTTCGACCTCTTAATAAAGCCGCTCGAGAATCACAAAAGAGCCTCAAGTACCTCGCATTTACAATTCCATACCGCCGGTACAAAACACTTTAAAACTACTCCGATCCACCACGCGCGAAAGAGCATCAAATACACACGTCTTTACGCCTCCTAGACTACTCAGCACACGTACTCCCAGACTGCCGGTGTACCAGCACCCTCAAATACTCAGCACACGTACTTCCAGGTCGCCGGCAGACGCACTTCCAGCTCTCGGTACCCAAGGATATTTATTTACAAAAGAGCCTTCAAAGACCCCTCATTTGCAGCACATTTAACCAAGTAATTAGAGAACTTGCTAGCATACGAGGCTATGCCCTAACTTCCCATTCCCAAGGAATTCTTAGAATCTTTACAAAGTAAAGCCTATACTATAGCGGAGACACGGAGAAAAAGGTAGAGATGGACGGACAATGGCGGGGCAAGGCTAGAGGGGTGTTACTGGTACATCAGTTTATGAGTAGTTTTGCCTGGTTACTGTGAGGGATGCAATTAGTATTCAATAGGAGCATGGTTGACCGGTTTCTTCATAATACATCGTATAATGGTACCTAGTAAAGCAAGCTAATCCATCGGGAGAGAAATGGGATTTTGGATATCTTTGAGGGTAAAACATCAGATTGCAGTTACAGGTTCATTAGTAATAGGCTAATCATGAGGATTTCTGAGAAATTAAAAAGATAGATAGATTGTATTGTATTCATATTACATGGGCAAAATTTAGCTGTTCTGTGTGAATCTACCTACAGGTAGGAGTTCCCCACTGACCAGACCATCGCAGTATCCAAATGTGTTCCCCGGACTACACGTCCGCATGTTCCCAACCAAAATCTCCGAGAACGAATCTGGCATATAATGTTGTACATTGTTCATTGGTTTCTCTATAGTTTTGCCTTGGGGGTTTGTGCCTTCTTCAGAATAGGCTCCATCTTGGTGGCCTTCATTACATCTCCCTTGACCTTGAGCTTTCCGGACATGAACAGTCTTTGTGCATTCGCCTTGCCTGCGACCAATTTTCCAAAGTCGTCGTCGGAGAGGGAGAGAGTAACTAAAGAGAAAGATTATTAGCTTGGAGTTCCTATAACTTGGCCGGTATGGCATCATGACTACGGGTGGGAAATCCGAAGAACTGAACTTGGACAGTGCAACGCACCTGTAGGCTTGGTTCCAAGTCCCTTTCCAGCAACTCCCTTCTCCTTGAGGTCAATGTGCCAGCTCTCCGTCTCTCCGGCCTTGTTCTTTATCGTGAATGCAAAGACGGCGTTGCCTTGCTTGATGGCATTGGCACGTTCGGCATCGTCGGAGGAGAGAGCAGTGTTTATAGCATCGAATGCTTGGGAAGAGGGGAATGCATCTGCGGAAAAGTCAGTTTGAGGTGCAACTGATCGAGAGGGTTTACAGACCATTTTTGAGAGACATGGTGTAGTTGAGTAATTGGCTTATTTGATTTGAAAGTTGGGTCTTGGTTTACACGACAGAGAAGGGAGTGGGTGGATAGAGAGTTAAGACTTGGGTTTTGAGTAAATAATAGGTGTTGGTGTTGGGACAGAATAGCGAATAGTCCACTGGGGTCTACGAGCGGAGGTCAGGTTTAGACACTAACTCTTGCGGTGATGCATGTGAATGCCGAGGTTGTCGATGCTTGCTCCCACCTCCGATGGCCGACTCAGATGGACCTTGAAAGTTGAAAACGTCACAGGACCTGGATGCTTCCACTTGGCTTGGGTGTTTTCACATGGAAACAGTGCGAAGTGGTGTTTAGAATCAACATTGGTTATTTGGAGGGATCGAATTGTTAGCAAAACAGAGGGACCAAATGTACCTCCGTACCGATGATCCAATTCAGGTTCTAGCTGATCATGACTGCATGCACTTTGTGACGGATCCGGCATCTGGAGATGGGAACAGCAAGCCAAGTCATTGAACAATCTGATGGAAGTGACATGACATTAGTACGAGTCGCAGTCCCAGCCCAGTATGGAAACATGTCAACTCCATTACCCGACTCAAGTAGTGCTTCTAGAGTGAGTGGATATCCATACAGGTAGTGCAGTCCAACGAGCCCAGCCTTTCCATTTGAAGCATCTCCACGATGGGGTGAATTTGGCCTCGAACGCCAGGCATCAACGCGGGGGCTCTTTCTTCGGAGTCCGGTCTCGGTGGCCTGGCGGGGCCGGAGCTGCAGGTGTCAACATTGATTCGCACGTGCTTTTGCTCAAACTAAAAGTCACGTGTCTGTCAGTTTGTTCCGCTCCCTCGTTAGCGGCGGTCCGTGCGAGGCAGACTTCTCGTGGGGTATATATACGGCCTCCCTCCCTCCGAAATCCTTTTCTCTTTTCTCTTTAGCTCTCTTTGCCTATTGGCTTAGATCAAGTGTAGTATCTGTTCTTTTCAGTTTAATCTCTGAAAGTTGCCTACGGGCAACACAAAGATTATACTTATTTTTGTCCCTCAGGGAGTGACCGCCAGGCTTGCCTGTGTCTCTTCCTACTGTGTTCTCGGTATTACACTGCCTCCGAGTAACGCGACACCATTCTTTTCGTTGCAGGCTTTTGGCTTTGCCAGAGATGTGAAGAAGAGGGATTTCTGACTGGGATCAGAGTGTTCCTTGTGGGTGTGGGTATGGTACTTTTTGCGGATGGCGAATAGGGCTGGTTGGTGCAGGTGGATATCACGGTTACGATGTCAGAATGTGAGGGCGGTTCAGCATCAAGGCAGTTGACGTGCAGGATGAACTTGTCTCCATCAGAGTCCATCGCGGTGGCTAACTATTTTGAGTTCCTCCATGAGTGGCAGGCCATTACAATGTTAGGATATTGGGAATTGGATGTTGGTGGCCTCTATCCTGTAACTGCTCATCGTCGTTGACGTTGACGAACCCATTTGCAGGAGGCCGGTGTCAACCCTAAGCTGCAAGGACGGCAAAGAGTTGCAGTATCTAGAAAATTCTAATGGCTTCAAACTCTCATATACAAGCAAGACTTAGATATACCGCAGTGCAGCGAATCCCAATTCCTCGTACTTGAAACCCAAATTTTCATTTCATCCAAAATCCAATGTGGGCGTGCCAAACGCGAAGACGAACACCGACATCCCGGCATTTGCAACCGTGAACGGACAACCATAAATCGCCATCTCGACACCACCATGGACATGGCCGACTTCAGCATGACAGGAATGGTCGATCCCAAGATCTTTGAGGATCTCCAGAAGAAGATTGACAGTGATGCCGAAACCCGTGATCAGATTCGAGCCATCCTGAGCACGCTTGAGCGACAGGGTCGACAGGCTCAATCCGTTCTCTCCAGGGCTCATTCTACACCAGCTGCACATCGTAAGAGCATTAGAATCTCTTTTTCGCGTAAAATCATGTCTGACTAATGCCTCCAAGTTCAGCCTGTGATTGCCGCTGCGGAGAATGCCATCAAGGAGGAGCTCGAGAGCACTGCCAAGCTTGCTGAGATAGCTTCGGATATTCCTTACTACAAGTAGGTCTAATATATGCCATGGCATCTGGGTTTTCATTGATTCACTACCTAGATACAACGGTCTCTGGACGCGAGAAGTTCAAAATGTCGTCTTTTCCATCCTCCTTTGTGGATGGCTTGGAGGCATGGCCATCAATGGCAGCCCCGCAGAACAGGGCAAACTCCTCACCATCGAAGAGGTCGGACAAATTCTCAACGGTAAGTCTTCTCCATACGATCTATGCACATGGAACCAGAACCTAACAATCTCCCAGTTCCAGTAAACCTCAAAGATCGGGATTCCTTCCATGTCACCATTGAAGAATACCTCCAATCACTCATCACGCTCATTGAAGAGCTCGCAAGATTGGCCATCAATTCCGTTACTTTGGGTGATTATCAACGACCATTGCAAATCAGTCAGTTTGTCAAGGACCTTCATGCTGGCTTCCAGATCTTGAATTTGAAGAATGATTCCTTGAGGCGACGAAGTGATAGCATCAAGTACAACGTCAAGAAGATTGAGGATATTGTTTATGATCTTTCGCTGAGAAACCTGCTTCCGAAGAAGGAATAAGTTCAAATGGTGGTTTTATTGAGCTGTCAGGAGTATTTGGGGATCATGATGGCTGAGTATATTTGCATGAGTCCGTAGGAGCAAAGGGGAGGCAACCACCAAGATATAAATCATGAATGATGTGCATTCAAGGGGTCGGTTTAACGATACAATTTCTCTTTGTTGATTCAGCTACGAGGTGTGAGTGAGGTCAGATTTGGGGTTTTACGTCTCAGTTAAAGTACTTGCACTGTCCACCTAGCAGATGACTTTTCTCGCTTTTGTCATCGTTCCTTCTCTTCTTTTCAAACTTGACTTACCTAGATAGGTTCTTTATATTTCTGTGTCCCTCGTGGCTCGGGAAGGAATGAAACTGAGTGCTTTGTATGGCTCCTTCCCAGCACATCTGTAGGCGCGTAACCTTCCCGCAAATGTACCTTCCCTGGTGATATTTCAGAAATGCCACCAGTCCTTGCTTTAAATATTTGCAGAAACAACACCATTCAAATTCAACATCAACATCACTTCCCAATATACATATTGGTATCAAAAGATATTCTATTTAGAATAGCATCAGCCAGACACTCCTTTTCAAAACTCGGCATTTCCCCCTCATAAGCACCCAAAAGATCAATTTTTATAGAGACAACCCACACTCGAATCCTCCCTCTCCATCAGCTCCAACTTAAAACCCCAAAACATGGGCAACTCCCTCTCAGACAACAGCTACCTCAACACCCGCGCGTGTGGCGCCCGCAACATAACCTGGAAGTACATCCACACCTTCGGCAAAGTCCCCATCGAACTCACATTCTGCCCATCCTACAACGCAATCCTCAGCTCGCACTGCTGCTGGGACGGAATCTGCACACCACACCCCTACTTCGACCCCGAGTTCCACCGGTACCAATGGCGCGACTGGAACGGGTTGGGAGATCCGTATCTCAATCGCACATGGCCCTGGCCGGATTTCGATGACAGTATGCCAGATGCCAAGCGTACGGGCATGAGGTCTATGGATAGACGGAAGAATGAGACGCAGTATACTTGGGACTGTAATCCGTTCTTTTATGGGGGGTGGGACCATCAGCCGAAGGTTTGGATTAAGGATGGGCGCGAGGCGAGGGAGGCGAAGAGGGTGTGTGAGGAGTGTATAAGGAGATTTCAGCCAAAGAATTCGGGGAAGAATGTTACTTGGGTTGAGGTTAGAGAGACTTGGGTTGAGACTACACATACGATTTGTACGGATGCATGTGAGAAGCTTGAAGAGAAGGATAGGAACGCGCTGGTTTTGGCTAAGAATCAAAATCAGACGGCATCTAGGAAGTCGAGTGGTCCTCGAGCAAATGGGGTTGGGGTTGGGGGTGGGGATGGTCAAGTTGATTGGTTGGTTGATGAGTTTGGTATGGATTGAAAATAGTTTGGTATGGATTGAAAATGGAATATGGAGGAGTGGGTTCAAAGAGTTGAAGACGTTGAAACTTTTTCTTATTCTTGCCCCAAGATAGAGAATTTGAGAAGTGTGTGGCCTATTCCTATCTTCTTCTGAAGCCCTGACAGGTTTCAAAACAACCAAGTTCGTGAATGAAAATCAGATGTCCCAAGATACATGAACAACAGCACAAATCCGCCACCACTGGAAGATTCCTTCACTTCTGCCATTCAACTCCCGTACATCTAGATGAATCGTGGAGGACTCCAAGACGGGTTTTCATCTGTGGTTTGTACAATAATAGTAACCATTGCTGTGATACAAGACCCATGTTACGTAGCAACAGACTCTCTATGTATCCACTGACATGAGGAGAACGCGAATGAAACTCAAGTAAGTCTTACGTAGACAAGCATTTACAAGCAAAATGAAATTCCGCCTGCGTCGCAGCTATTGGTGCTATCACCTGGGCAATCGCTGTTCTTGCCGCATGGCTCAAGTTCCGCTACTGCCATTGTGGAGAAGAGAGTGAGGATTGTGAGGACGATTGGTGCTACGGCGAAACGCATTTTGGATGGTGGAGGGTGGTGCTTGGTGGGTTTTGCAGTGGGTTATGTGGTGGTGTGTGTGAGCAGGCACTCACTGGAGATGGTGAGGGATGAAGTTGAGGGGTATGTATGAAGGAAGACTTCTCCTGTTGAGAGAATATAATTGAGGACACCTAATTGTAACACAAATATTCGACTCTCCGACTTTAGTTAGATTAAATATTATTATTATAGTATCATAGTAGAAGTGTCAAAGTGGCTAAGAATTAGTTTTGGTGTTGTTACAATTGGGGGTCCTCAATTGTAGAGTTCTCTGATGGTATGTAAAACCGCTGATCAGATCTAGCACAACCCGGTCAAAATCGCGTCAAAGAATCAAGAAGTCCTTCGACTTCATCCTTTTTCTTGGCTCGCTTGCGATTTTGGGTGTGGAGTGATGGGAATGGGATTCTGAATGCCAGGGTGCAAGATCTTATTCTCGGGTCTGGGCCTCCTGCTTAGAAGGAGAAGCGGAATTTATAGGTTTATTGTGTTTTATAAGTGAACCGTTCAATATGGTCTGTACTGTAATCTTACATGGAAGAGTAGGTGCTTTGATCGCTGTGAGCGAGGCAATGCTTATGCGAATGTGAATCGATATATAGTATGGTGTGTGTTTGTAACTTGTCACTGATGACCTGCGGCAACATTTAAAAAAGAAAGAAAAACTTTTATCCTCGCTTACAGGTGATGATAGTTATTCGACAACAAAGATGTAGATTGTTAGCTATTGAAGGATGGTTTCATCTTTTATTTTGCAGACTTCGGGACTTTGCAGGCTTGTCGTTTTTCTTTTTTGGAAATTGTTGATGTGTTTTTCGGCAGTATGTGACGCCAAAGTTTCAGGGACTCGGAATCAAGATCATAATCAATGGGAGGAGCACAGATTGGCTGTGGGTTTCAGTAACTTGGTTCATGCCCATGAACCCAAGTATTCCATTGATCTCCTAAGCTTAGCAGCCAGTAGACTAAGACTGCATGATACTATAGTGTTCCAAAAGATCAAAAGCTGTGTAAGCTTCGAAAGCAGCAGAGGATAGGTGCTAACAATTGAGAATGAATTGTATTAGTGTTATCATGGCAAAGCCTACTCTAAAACCAACCCTTTTCATAATGGAGGAGAAGAGGGTGTTGGCTGAGTGGAAGATCGTTTCACAGATAAGTGTTCATTCCTTTTCGTTCAAATATCTCCACAGCCCTGTTCTTGTAAGAGAACTCCTTGCTGTTGCTAATTTGACGTATCAATGAGTTTCGGTAAAGATTAGGGTACAGTACATCTCTTACGTACCCGAGACTTTGGCGGCAAGCCTTCACATTCACATACGGACAATGGTTGTCCCCTCTCCCCTGTTTTCTCTTTTCCTTTCGCTAACATTTTTCTCTCATAGAAGATATCTCATGACCTCTTCTTACGTTTCGGAATTGTTCTGGTTATATGTTAATCTTTTCGCCTGCACTAATCGCCTAACTTGCTGTGGCTAGGCTAACACTTTTGATGAATGTTGACAGTCAGGTCCTCATCTCAAATTCCAAATTCTTGGCTACGCTACCTCCAGATGTCAATAGTTCTAATTGCCGCATGTGTCAGTGGTTCACGGATGGCGGCGGAACTACTGTAGTGCCCGCAACTAGTTGTTACATGGCGATCCGAGATCTCGGACGACGACGAGCTGACAACAATGGAAATGGCTATAGACTACAAGCCATTGAGCGTTTTGCTTTTGAGCTTTTGTGTTGATCTCAAGCTCGTTTTTTGTATTTTTTTTGTGGCAGTTAATACATAGTTCGGTTCAAGTTCTTTTTCTGATGCCCTTGAACTACAAGATGAATAATACTGTGTTTTGCAGTGGAGGATGTAGGTTTAACTTAGTAATTGTGCGGTATTTTAGAGGGTGCTCCACATGGAATATCAAGCTCCGATCGAATATTGCTGTGATATTAATAAAACAAAAAACACAGGCACAAATCAGTGCGCACGATGCGATCTTGGACGGAGTTTGGATGAGCTAACTTCCAGCTGTATAGCTATCGAATTGCCTATGGAAATAATTCCACATATTTGGCCAATGTAAATACCTTCACTTAGCATGCCCGGATTCGTCTGACTATTGTCTCGCCATAGAAAAGATAAGTAAGCCTTGATCCTCTGTTTCTTAGGTTTTGTCGTCCGTGTATATTCAAGTTCTTGTAAGAGTTTCACACACCAAGATGCTTGCGTTGCAGACTCTCCTTGCATATGGCCTATGGCTCAGCGTCACTGATGCGGCGGTATCAGTACCGGCGCAAACAGACGAGGTCTGCTATACAAAGCGTGCCACGGCAGCCGTCAAATCTGTGCCGACACATATTCTGAATACAGCATGGACCGTTCCTCAGCTTGGTTTGACTACCTATACCCCTTCTGTGGTTAAAACTCCATCCAAGGTTACTACGACTACGACCCTTCTGAGTACTGCAACATAATTCTTGACATTACCAACTTCCACTGTCAGTTATCATGTTCTCTTTCATGTGGAGTTTCTGATTTCTTCCAGAATACGTTCACCTCATACAGCAGTATCACTACCATAAGCACGCTAAATATCCCTCTTTCGACGATTTCAGTATATACAACCATAACACAAACAGTTACCTCGGGAACGGATACCTCCATTCTTCCTACTCAAACAGGGTACCTTCCTACGAAGTCCACTATTCTTAAGGCCGAATTGTTTGCGGCTAAGAAGCGCGCTGTGTCTCGAGTCCAAAGAGGACTAATCGGTATGCTTCTCGGCGATACAGGAATCCTAGGCAGTACAAAACAAAAAACTCTGGATCGTTCACAAAGAGGCAAACCTAGCTATCCAGTCGCGATTACATGTTACAAGAAAAGTTATTTCTTATCAGGTGTATATGATTACCTTTACTGCAATGAAAATCACGACCGTTACAGCACCAACACCAACGTCAATTGTGACAACTATAAGCAGTGAGAAGCTTCATTTCCAAGCCAAGTTTTGATGGTTTACTGACGAACCCAAGAAACTACTGCAACGATTACTTTGAGCCCACCCGTTGCGTTGACTACTCTCATATTCACGACATTGATCACTGAGACTTTTACAAACGCTCCAAGCACCACAACGACTCTTACTGTCTCACAGACGGTGACGATTCCAATAGCCACGTCCATTTCTTATGGAGCAGCTAATGGCAATAAGTAAGTCAAACCGATTCCCCTCCAACAATACAAGTGAACTGACACAACACCCGCAGTTCTGTTGGCCGTGCAAATGGAGCGTATATCACAAACACCTATTACGATTCCAGCACTCAAAATGTCGTATACACAGACGACACAGACATGACCTCCTGCAGCAACTCATGTTTCTCAACTCCAAGTTGCGCCCAGTATCAACTTATCACTTACAATGCTCCGCCGGAGATGTGCATGTTGGTCATCACCAATGATGCATGTAACACACCCAACATGGTTCCAGGCAATTCCGTGAGTGTAGACGGTGGAGCTGGACCTGGCGATGTGGTAGTGGTTGGCAATGGGATCTGTGGGAAATGGGACAGCGTCAGTTCTTAAGCACCCGACAGTGGAGAAATAACTCCCGTCGTTGATTTGCGTATTGAATCTGTATATATCATCAATAAAAAGCAATACCTACTAAGTTTCAAAAAATCAAGGGCCGGTTGCCACGGCCTTTTTCAGCGCTGATTCCCAGCTGGATCCACTTGGCACAAAATAGAGGGATCGATCAGCTAAATATTCAGATGCATATCTCCTAGCAACTTACTTGAGTACTCGTAAGCCTAAGATCTTTCCCTTCCTCCCCCACCTTATGCGGAGCTGGCGTCCCCTCGGTAGTATCCAAGAACCAACATCGAGGGGTCTCGCTTAACATATGCATCTCCGCCACGCAGTGACGTACTAACAATTCCGCCCAAAAGTGATGATGAAATGCCCAATTATCTACCCCTCAATGAAAACAAACCCCCCCTTTCTACAAATATAAACAAAAGCAACCAGAATTCCTACGTTATATCTATTTAATCCACAATATCTCAAACACCTACCAAAAATCAAGATGGCAATGTCCCAAGCAGCGGCGCTTGCCGAAAAACTCATCGGACATACCGGTACCGCCGAAACAGCGCAGGACATCACGAATCCCGCGAGGGATCGAAAGAAGTATGCGGATCCCTCTGGGGAGACGATGAAGGCTTTATGTTGGATGGGGAAGAACACTGTGGAAGTTCGTAAGTTTTCTCTTATAACCCCACTAACTCAAATTATCATCTCATCATATTCATAAACTAAGTAATTGCACAGAGGATGTCCCCAAACCCAGAGTCGTGGAACTGAGAGATGTGATTTTGAAAGTCACCGGTTCGACGGTTTGCGGTTCGGATCTCCATTTGTTGCATGGTTCGATTGTTGAGCTGGAGAAGGGCGATATTCTTGGACATGAGTTTTGTGGCGTGGTGGAATCTATGGGTGAGCAGGTGGGCAATTTGAAGGTTGGGGATAGGGTTGTTGCTTCTTTTCAGATTGCTTGTGGGAATGTGAGTCTTCCTGGACCACTGTTGGCTATGACAGACTTGAGTGGTGAAATATGCTAACCAGCAATAGTGTTTATTGCAACAAAAAGATGAGTTCGCAGTGTGAGAAAACGAACTCTAATACCATCGAAAACGGGATGTATGGTGGTACCACCGCCGGGATGTTGTAAGTTGATGTTTCATTCTTACTTGAAGACTTTGTGCTAATCTTAGATATAGCGGATACAGCCATTTCACAGGCGGTTTTGCTAGAGGTCAATCAGAGTACGTCCGCGTCCCAATGGGCGTCACCAACCTCCTCAAACTCCCCGACTCCGTACCGGATGAAAAAGGCCTCTACCTCTCCGACGTCCTTTGCACTTCCTGGAACTGCGTCATCGATACAGGCGTCGAGAAAGGCGACGTAGTAGCCATCTGGGGCGCCGGTCCCATCGGACAAATGGCCGCCGAATTCGCCTTCATGAATGGTGCCTCGCGCGTAATCATGGTCGATTGTAATTGGCGCTTAGACTTCATGAAAGAGAAGTATCCCAAGGTTGAACTCCTGGACTTCAGTAAACTGCCCAAGGGCGAATCGGTCACCAGTCAATTGAAGAAGATGGTTGATGGACGGGGTCCGGATGTTGCGCTTGAATGTGTGGCTGGAGAGTATCCCAAGGGAAGGGCGCACTACTTTGAGATCATGCTTGGGATGGAGACCGATACCTCAGAGATCATCAACGAGATGATTACTTCGGTGTGAAACTTTGGTCGTTGTGGTGTTACTGGTGTCTATGCAGGCTTCGTAAGTTCTCTTTCTCTCTTGATTCGAAAACAGTAAACTAATCGAAAACCAGACTAACCACTTCAACATTGGCGCTCTGGTGGAACGCGGTATCCGTTTGATTGGAAATGGTCAAGCGCCCGTTCATATGTATTGGGAGAAGCTCTTGAAGATGATTGAATCTGGAGAGATCGATCCGCTCAAAATGGTCACTCATCGGGTAGATGTATCTGAACTCGACACTATCTACTACAAGTTTGAGAAGAAGGAAGACGGGATGCAGAAGGTTTTTGTCCAGACCAAGTTTTCTGCGCCTCCTTGCAAGGGGAGTCCGAGCTTGACGACTTATAAGAAGTAGAGGAATGTAGTATATGTGAACGCTTCGAGCGTTGCTGTTGTATGATAATTATAACCATAAGCTGAAAGGTTTCATTAGAAACAACGTTTGACTATGCTTGCTTCGAAAATTATTGATCACGTGCTCCTAAATGTCAAGTAACCTGTTTGTTGCACACTTCATCGTAAATAGAACAACAGAACATGTAGCCCTTTACGAAGTCATGAAAAAATAGTCTTCCAAATTAGCGACCCGCAAAGAGGCTTGATACAGGCACTGGCCCAACAAACCTGAGAACCCACGTCAGTGAGATGTTGATTTAATTGATTGTTTACTATCATACACTCATTCAGGTCATCCCCAAAAGTGAGTTCAACACTCATTCCCCGAAGTCTATAATATGGGGAGAGTCCGCTCAAGAAGCGCTTTCTAAAACACAGTAAACTCAACATATCAATACACCCCTCTTGATTTCATGTCATGATTGAATCATAACTTCTTGGCCTTAGGTAGCTTTCGGTTTGCTCTCCTCATAGCCTTCACTTCTTTCGTCGTCCGCTTTCCGATATCCCAGCCCCAACCTCGCAGTACTCTCACCACTTTTGGTGTAACAGCTACTGTGAGGGGCACTCTAAGGAAAATGAAAGATTTATGTATGGCGTAGGCGAGGGCTAATCGAGTTGCAAGACCTTAAATTTGATTAGTGCGGGTGTTTGACGAGGGGGTCCAGAGTACATACTAGCATCTTGCTTATTTTTGGCCTCGGCCTCTTCAACGCCCCAACTTGCCATTGCAACAGTCTGGTCGACTTTGGAAGCTCCTGAGATTTCGGCCTCGGCGTTCTTCATCCCCGCCCGCCACTCATGCCATGCTTGTTTGACAGATTCTGGTATCAGCCGTTTTACAGTTGAGAGGAAAGCATGTTCCCATTCTCCTGGAAATAATGTGTTAGTGAGTGCCTGGAAATCATAGATTCATGATATTTTCAGTTCCAGGCCATTCGCACGCAAGGTCTAAATGGCTGTATCCCAAGTTTGTTTCTTTGATCACAAAGTCACAAGAGATGACCAGCTTGCATTAGCAAACATTTATCAAGTCGCTCTAGTGTCCAGAAAGTTGAAGCAGCAGTCCCCTTCTCCGCCGCTCTTAGTTCACACATACCCAGTATTTGTGCATCCAAAAAGAGATCCTTCGTACACCCTTTGGGAATGCGAGATTTCCGCTGAGAACCCTTCTTCCAGGCGACTTGCTCCAATTGCACTCATCTTTTTCTCTTGGCCAGCTATCCAGGATCCAAAACCGGCTCGCAAATTTCCAACATAAACTGAAATAGCCACTCACCAATTCTATCAGTCCCCACGTACAACACTAACATATAACAGAACGGGAAATCCGCCGCACTCAGCGCAAAATATACCCCTACAGCAGACCACCCATATTCCCTCGAAAGTTTCCTCAGCCGTCCACCCAGACTCGTTGGCTCCGGTTCGGGGGTAGCCTTCGAGCTCAAATTTGATTCGGTTGGCTTGCTATTTCTCCCCCTTCGAGAACTATGTAGGGATCTTATGGAGGATCGTAAGCGCTGTAGTATCGCCTGCCCACTTAGTGGGTTTGCTCGACTGGAGGAGGAGAATATGAACCCAGTCCCCGGATTCGATTTAGGTGGGGTGACTGGGCGAGAGGTGATGGTTCTTTGTGCGAGGGAACGAATGGGTATCGTGGTCGTGAGAGGGGAGGTTCGCAGCATTGGTCGCATCATCTGAGAGGCTCCTCGAGCTCCCAGTGAGCTTATGGTGCTTCGTAGCATTGCTATATTTTGAGAATTAGGCGTTGTGGTTGGGTTCAACGGAGGCTATTCCGGGATTGCGAATGGAGGGGCGAGGATGAAAAGAATTTGTAGGTGGAGCCCCCGTATTATCTCCAAGTCCCCGGTTACTTCCCTGACCATCTACCAAGTAGAAGTCTGTAGGGAGGATTCTGCCAGAAGAACCTCTTTCTGGTGTAGGAATCTGATTGCGATTGTCTTATCAAGCCCGGTAACAAAGCAAAAGGATCTAGGTACCTTTCCCGGCGCCAAATCTGTTCGGTGTATTCGTTGTGCCAAATACACTCCGTGTTATGGAGTCGCAGGATGTATAGAACGTTGATTAGTGGAGAGGGGATGCAGTAAGAAAACTCTTTTGCAGATTGAATAGCAGTGACATCGTCGTCTTCCTTGACAAACCCGTACTCCGTAGGTTGAGTACGTATGGAGTAAGCTACCTGGTACAGTACAATTCCCGATTTTATTTTTGGGCAGGGAAGAAGCAGGTGGAGAACTGCACGGTGATGCAAGTGGCCTGAGCCAGAGATATCGGCACCGAACCCGGACACGGGACGAACATCGGAGACATACGGAGACGAAAGTACTCACAGGGCAGACAAGTACTGAAGTAAACAGCTCGAGTGTTCTTTGCAAAAATGATTGAATAAGTTAGCCCTAGACTTTGGGTTCCTGATGCGACTTTCAAATTGGGGTATTCGAGGGTTATAAGTATTGAGAATAAAAACTCTTCATTAACATTTAATTGATTAATCTAGCAGAGAAGCTCATATTATATCCCATCGACCGCCAATGATGCCAATCTGAACAGAAATGCCCGCAACAGATATATCTAAAGAATGGAATGGCTTATAGAGGGAATCCTGTTATGAACATGCTCAAAATACACACAGCAAAAATCGGAAGTTGACCTCACTCCCATCTAAGACAAATAAGCTGTATCAACCCAGCTAGTATAGTCGCTGCCCAAGATTGTCGAGATGCTAATAGCAGAACCAATCTTACTCGAGAAGCTTGCTCTCTGTCCCGAAGCTCCGTCTCCAGTGTTGCCAAACTCCTGAAAAACAGCATTCTCGGTATTTGCCAAGCTGGTACTCCACACCTCCCAACCAGCAGCATTGATAATGTTGGACATCTTGGTGTTCTGGAAGCAGACAGTCGCATACTTGCTCCATGGTCGACCGAGGTAAACTGATCCTGCCGCAATCGAGCTTGACGAAGCAGAGATGGAAGATTTGTTAATCACATAGGCAGAAACATCTGAAGAGGATGCTTTTCCATTTGCTGTGATAGCACCTTTTCCAACCACCTTGATGTCGGCACCATCAATCCATGCTCGTGCGTGTTGGCCGAAAATGAAGTCAACGGCTCCTTCAATACGGCATTTTCCGTAGACCTGCTTCCCGGTTTGAGCGAGAAGGGTATCTTGGTAACTTGAAAGCCCAACACCGTAGTATCCTTGCTTGTCGCCCCAAGCTGATAGTGCAATGGCCTGGGAGCCTTGTCCGTAGGTGTTTTTGATGTTGATGTTGTAGAACTTGGAATTGACGGCTCTGTTCTGTACGGTTCCAGCTACAAACATATATCAGTAAGTTGTTTCCTAGTTGGGGAAATAAAGCTCCATTCGACGACAAGTATGAAGAGTATGCAAGGCAAGGAGATATAGGTAGAACATACTAGCTTCATCGTCTTTAGCACCAGAGAGAAGACTTGAGCTATGAGTAATGGTTACCACATTTGACGAGGGAGAACCGGTATTCTCGGTATATCCGTAGACAGTAAGAGCTGCTTTTCTGGCCGGAATAATGACTTGCTCATTATATGTGCCAGCAAGGACAAATAAGCTCTGAGCCGTTGTAGATGTCGTGCTCAAAGAATTAATGGCAGCTTGAATCTGATTCACATCAGCTATTATTCGGACAATGATTCGCCAGAAAAAGAGTGCTCATACAGTAGAGAATTTACCACCAGAACCAACAGTAATTGCACCAGAGGGGGCTGTTGTACGGCCAGCGGCCAAGACCGAAGCTACTAAAGAAGCGCGAGCAAGAAAGTCAAGCATGTTGAAATAATAACAGGTCTGAGTTGCCACAAAGATGAAGAACAAATTTTGGGTGAAAAAGTACTCTTAAGGGAGGACAGTAATCTTGGTGCCTAATACCCAGGGCTGTAGAAGGATCTGATGCCCCGCAATAGAGTAGGTAGCAACCTGCAGAGGGACCTTTGTAGTGGGGGTGTCAACACCCTACCCTACATACACGAGCTCACATACACCCTTGTGGTTTGTCAACTGGCTTGTGAGAAGATAAAAAGTAGACCCAAACTCATGGCTAGAAATGGGCCTTTCTATCAAAGTTCTACGAAAACGAGCTGTTGCTCCTCTGTGCTAAAGTGAAGGGCGGAACACAACTTAGATTGAAACATTGAGCGAAAACAAAGTTCGGGAAAGTGCATCTCGAAGAAATTTTTGAAGCATTTTGCTGCGGCCCCCACTGGGGAGTATTGCGATTGGATGATGCTTCTGTCAGCCAGGAACGGACTTCTCGAATAGTGTCCGTGGAATTTCGGCACGTCACATTTTCTTTTAGAAAGGAGATAGCAAGGAAAAATGAGTCCATCCGTCGTACGACTTGTACACTTTTTGGTAGTATTGCAAAGAGAATGTAGTCGTGGCAGCCCTATGATGGACTTCCAGTTGAGTGGGGGATGGCACAAGTGGGCTGGCTTATAGTGATTTCCAGAAGATATCATTTCTTCAAAATGGGGAGGATTTGACAATGGATGCAAGGAGATTATTACTTCTGAAGCCCAACATAATTGCTCACTCCCCTCAGCATTCGGGACTTCCGAGTCTGGTGTTGACGGCCGCAAGCTGACCAGCGTCTGTGTTGAATTGATGAAGAGGTCGAGAATGTTGGTACGGAAGGGACGGGAAAATACTGTATGGTTTCAGGAACATGATTACATAAACATATCAAAGCCAATTTAGAAAAGGCCCATAGCAGCGGCTTGCGGGACGTAGCATTGTGATCCACCAATCGGCAACTCCCCCGCAGATTGTAAGCTTAATCACGACCAAACGAACGCCTGGAGCACATCCACTCTGAGCTTCCTCCAATTACAAAATTCACTACCCTCGTCCCCCCTCCTAAACAAAAGGTTATTTCTCTGCTGGCAGCACTTGTGTTGTTTCCGGTAAGGGTGTATTTTCAGATGAAAACAGGGAGTGACCCTCGGCTCTCTCAGACCCACTATTCAGCGAAATCTTCCAATTACTCGTACTTGTAGAAGACTGCATTCTACTTAAATCTTTATATATCTAAGCTTGTTTTTCAAAGATTGGTCAATTTGAACCTTTTCCGGAAACAGGGAAAGGTGCACGAAGGGGTTCTGTACAAAGAATAGCCATTTGAGTCAGGGGCCGGGAGAGTTCGAGTGACGTCCACCATTCGGAATAACTTGGCATTTATTCCAGAATCATTCTTTAGGCCATGTTGTGTTCCCTCACAAATCACTGTCGATCATTGATAGTCATTGATGGACAATATCTCATGTGAGGTGAAAATAAGCCTCTGTACCAAGTTGGCGGTACGCATGATGATCCAAATCTCCAAGGAAGAGGAATGATTTGATGGAATGAACACGTAATATACCCCACCTTGAGCATAGGAGAACTTCCCGTAATCCCTTCAAGCTTTGCCATTCCCCATCGTCTCGATCTCTTATATAAATATGTATCTCTTGGCGGTTCTTGTCGTTTCTCGGCACACCCTCTTGACTTCCTATTCATTTCCCTATCTTCCTGGTTATTGGACCGCATATCCTTCTTGATTCTCAAAATGGTTCAATTCTTGAAAGCCTTGGGGCTGGTCCTCAGCTCTTTAGCCCTTGTGACTGCTGTTCCTACCCCTACCGCTGCACCAGATGTCAGAAACGCTGCTGGACTTCAGAAGCGTACATCTTGTACTTTCACCGATGCAGCGGCAGCCATCCAGAACAAGAAATCATGTGCCACTATTGTCCTCAACAATATTGCTGTCCCTTCTGGCACTACGCTTGACCTCACCAAACTCACCACTGGCACTCATGTAAGTATAACCTTTTGGGTGGACAAAAACTTGGTATAATTTTCTTGGAAAGCTCGCTTAATCGTTTCGTTTATTGAACCTGATACAAACACCTTCAAATTGCTCAGCGAAGTGGAAGTATTGAGACTATTTACTTCCACTTCTCTTGGGCATTAGGAGAACCCCCTACAAAAAATCCCTAGGCTTAGCGTGCTAACACATGAAAAGGTTATCTTCGAAGGAAAAACCACTTTCGGCTACGAAGAGTGGTCCGGCCCTCTCGTCTCAGTCTCAGGACAAGACATCGTTGTCACAGGAGCCAGCGGCAACTGTCTCGATGGCGATGGTAAGCGATGGTGGGATAAAGAGGGCACCAACGGTGGCAAGACCAAACCGAAGTTCTTCTACGCTCACAGTTTGACGGGAGCTTCCTTCATCACGGGATTGAATGTTCTCAACTCCCCCGTTCAGGTTTTCTCGGTTAATGGTGCCAAGGGCCTCACCATCTCTGACGTTACCATTGACAATTCCGCTGGAGATGAGGGTGAGCTTGGACATAATACTGATGCTTTCGATGTGGGATCATCGGATTCCATCACTATTTCTGGGGCATATGTCAAGAACCAAGATGATTGTTTGGTAAGTTTGGATTATCTTCTCTGGTTGCGTCAATCAAACAGGCTGACACGTTTTCAGGCTATAAACTCTGGTACAAACATCATTTTCACCAATGGATCATGCTTTGGTGGACATGGTCTATCCATCGGCAGTGTTGGGGGACGAGATGATAATACCGTTGATACCGTAACCATCAGCAGCTCCACAATCTCAAACTCAGACAACGGAGTCCGAATTAAGACCGTTTCTGGAGCTACCGGTGCCGTCAAAGGTGTTACTTACAAGGACATCAAACTGAACAATATCGCCAAGTACGGTATTGTAAGTTCAAAACCAACACCCCCTTCTATTCCAATGCTGACACTTTTCTCTAGGTCATTCAACAAGATTACGAGAATGGTAGCCCAACTGGAATTCCTACCATCGGCGTCCCAATCACCGATCTTACCATCAGCAACGTCGCTGGTACGGTTGCCTCAGGAGGGATAGACGTCTACATACTGTGTGGAATCGGGTCTTGCAGCAACTGGACATGGAGCGGTATCTCAATTACTGGAGGACAGAAGAGCAGCGTATGCACTAACATTCCATCCGGTGCCATTTGCTAAATTAGCGAGGCCTTGAAGGGGATGGGATAGATTCTCAACTTCTTTCGATTAATTTCTTTGTATATATTTTCCTTAAGCATACATGTATATTCCTGGAGAAGAATGAAGCTTTGTACATACTTACTACCTGTCATTTATACTTCTTGCTCGTCCATACTTATCTTCTTGGCTTTTTTCATGCATTGCGTGAAGCGAGAAATCGGGTGCTCTCCGGAGGTTAGTAACCATCTGACTCTTCTCCAAACATTCAAGAATGATTTGATCTCCCAAATCAGAAATCTGAACCCTGGGTGAATACCTTCGTGGCCGAAGCAGGGTGGTGGCCTCCTGGAGATCAGAGAACCTAGATAGTGTTTGTTTGGTTGGGCAGATTAGCAAAAATTACGAAACGCTCCATCACGCGATAGACAGCAGGAAGTTTTTCATAAGCTATGTTATATTTATTGATCGAAATACCAGATCAATAAATGTATATTTGGGTCCCCAGTCTAGAACAACAAAACAAAGCCATATTTGTGCCAATCAAAAAGTGTGTCCAAGAAACATCAAACGAGAAACCCCAAGTCTCATCCAGGAAGCCAAAGATTTGGTATTCATCAGAGCGACTCCTTCTCTGATCAAATCCCCCACTCTGGGATAGATGCATCCATTTTAAAATGAAAGTGACATTCCATCTACTTTACACGAGTCCACCGTAATAAAATTCAAGTACGTGATGGCACCTACTCAACTCAACTCGAGTAGTGAGACACGCTATTCAACGCAATCGCCAAGTACTCGATTAACTCATGAGTTATTCGAGCAGTACGGAATAGACCGGCCCGAGTCCTCGGCGGCACTTTGGATTGTCGGTCACGCGTCGGTCCGATTAGTAGATTTAGCCGAGGCTCTCTATAAACTAAATATCCTGTCTTATTTGGTAGTAAAAACATGCCTAAAACTAGTTATATTCTTACAGGTATTATGAAATAGCTAGTATTACTAATTTAGAAGCACTTAGAAAGGTCTCTTTAAGTAATACCATATTTATAGTACTACTCAAGTGGTCAAATCTAATACTTAAGGAAACTACCTACTTATACTTAATCAACTTAACACTCGAGTAGAGTTGAGTAGTTGAGTAGTTTTGTGATCACGCTACGCGAGTCCATCTACTCCATAATTCAAATGTCGTCCCCTACCCTCACGAATCACAAATCCTATACAAGTTACCAACCAAACAAAGCCAGCATCACTATTACATTATCGCCCCATATTCCTCACCACAAACACGAAGTCATCCAAAGAGTCCACATATGCACAAACACCCTCTTTTCTAACCCTCCATCCATTCAACGATGCCCTGATGGCATCCAACTCCATCCCATATTGTCCATTCTAGCGTAAAGCTTATGTTATGTGCCTACCAGAAATAGGGCGTGATATAGGGTACTGTATGAATGATCAATCAACTCTACAACTACAACATGATATTCCGCAAATTCCCTCATACCGAGTACCAAGGTGAGAATCTTTCTAAGAAAGAAAAAAAAAACAAGAAGAAGCGACAAAGACAAGACATAGCGACATAAATTGCGCGAGTATTTTCCCGCCCTCGCAAAACGGTCAAACCTAAGGAATCAAAAAAAAAAAACAAAAGAACATGAAAATAAACAACATGAAAAATTGTTCTTCAAATAGTATCAAAATCGGAAGTTTATTACCATCATCTACCTACCTACAAACCATCTCACTCAACTCCATACTAATCTACTTGAAAATCCCTCTATCAAAGCTAAAGACCAATCCAATCCAACACACCGATCTCTGCTCCCCAGCTTTCCCATCCCTCATGATCGCCATCCCATTCATCCCCATAATTGCGCTGTGTTGTTGCCCCATGATTCATGGCCATACATAAAACAGTGGGTCCCCCTCCCGAGGTCCAATTCAAGAGGAAGAAGAAGGAAACAAGGACAACGCAAAAAGAAAGAAAGGAAGAGAAAAAAAAGTATTCTGGCGTTGTAGTATCCCCGTCCCAAGAAATGTTCCATCATAATGTGAAGCCGCTCTCCATAGACACAAAAATATTTAAAAAAACGCCTCGTAAAATGCTCGTGCACCCCATCCATATGAACCAAAAAAACATCATTGTGGAGTTGAGTCCCGTGGTGTAACGACCCTGTACGATAACCCGATATCTCTCCGGGAATAACCCAAGAAACTCGTTGTAACTCTAGGCAACAGCACATAGGGCAAGAAACCAAAGGTTGTAACGGATGAAAGGAGAAAATGCTTTCATTCATTCCCAAAAGTCCATCATGTATCGCATATCCCAAACTACCATCCTCCGGCCACTTATATCGCGAAGAGACGGGAGTTGCTCGTTTATAAACCAACAGCCTCGAGATCCCGCATCAGAACTGCCATTTGTGCCCGTTTCGCAGCCTCGGCAACGAGATTAAAGTCGCGGAGGAAAGGAGAGGTTCCGTCGTCTTGATTTGATTGTTGGGGACGTTGTGCGGGGTGGTATTGTTGGGTTTGTTGGTGTTGGTGTTGATTTGGTGCTTGGGCCGCTGTTGATGATGTAGTGGGGTTATTGGATTGCGCAGAAGAGGCTGAGGATGAGGAATTTGATCCGGCCATGAAGTAAGTATTATTTTGGGAGGTTCCTTTCATAGAGGGAGAGGAGAGTGGTGCTTCCATTTTGCTGTGTTTTGTATGAGAGTCTCGTGTAAGATGGTGGTGTTGTAGTAAAGACGAGCGAATAAGTAGGCTCAAGTATTCGGTGTAGTAAGGTCGCGAGATGATGTCTTTGGGTGAAATAAAATCACAGTAAATTTTGGAAGGTTCTCTCAAGACGAGATGGTAGTGACTTGTTCAAATAAATAAATTTCTCGCAGAAAGTCGGACGAGAAATGGTTCGTCGGAGGGTTGTATGCAGAAGATTCGGCCGCGGCACTATTATTTAGTGGGGGGAATAGGTACCGATTTCGGGTATCGTCAATGATCGATTCCCCACCGGAGCGAGTGAACGAGTGTGGATATAAAGACGGTAGATGTGTAGTTCGAGTCGGTGATGTGGGTTCAGTTTCTCTTGCCTTTGCCTTGGAAAATGTCTTGTTGCTGCAGAAAGGGTACTGGTGCAGCTGTTGGATGTTGGGTCAGTATCCGCGGATAACAGGCTAAATGACGGGATGACGGGTGTTGGCAGCTTGAGGTGATTGCTCGTTTGGTGTTTGTACGAGGGCCTAGGTACCTCTGAGGTATCGAACTCAGTGTGTGCTGGATTTGATATCTGCAACTGTCGACCAAAACGTTGTTGATGTTATTTCACAAACACTTGCCACGACGGAGACGAGGTTGCAGAGATCTATTGATTGTGTTTGTGATGAGCACTGAGCAGAAATGAAAAGTCCGGGGTGAATGAAAGAAGGTTCCTGGGGTGCATGGGCTACCCAATTAGTGTTGGTCGGCAGCGCAACCTATTCTGTACGAAAACAGAAATCCAAATGGAAATCCAAATCCAAATCCAAATCCGACCGCAGCAATGAGGACATCAACTACGTGGGCGAATGAACTATTGGCCTTCCCACGACGAGGCTTCGCGGCGTTTTCTTTGACCCATTTGGCGGACGATGCGTCGATGGGCAGTTGCAGAGGCGAATGAAGAAGCTGGAGAAGCGCTAATACCCCACGGCTAGAGCCATCCCCATCTCATCGAAGAACCTAAAGTAGCTAGCCAGCCACCTTACTTTGGCGGCTTGTCTCACCGTGCACGGGGGCGGCTTGCTTCAAAAATCGCCGTGCTTGTCAAAAGCACATGTTTGAAGATTCAAGGGAAAGGGCAATTCCTCGATCTATCAAATGGCGAGACTTTGGTCGAGGATTCGGAGAATTGCAGTCGGTAGAACATGGTACAGAACTGCGGTTCTGTACTGTACAAATGTACAAATGCAGACTTCCACACAGGCACAAGCGAGCAAGTACCGATGTATCTACCCATCTGTCAATGGTGCATTTCACACCACACTGTACGAGTACTCGGGATAGCCACATTCAGGTTCGTGACGAATGCGGGGCATATCGTTGTTACACCATTTGAGGTGCCCGCACAAAGGTGGTCGGACGAGTTCCTCCGCACTTGCTTCTACCCGTGAACCGAGACCAACTCGATGCCGATGACGCAAAAAGGGGGGGAAAGCCGGGATCAAGGGCAGTCGTATCCGCATGCAACTTTCACATGAGTTGGTGATGCACAAAGAAACGAAGAATGTTCTTGTTGAAAAGGGTCATTCCTGCAGACGACTCTTCTTTTGTTCTGATGCAGCTACAATGACTCAATTTAGAAAGTCAATATTGCGATACACCATACTCGAGTACATGACGCATGGTTTTGGAATGGAATTTGAATTTAATGGTGCTCACGTACAGCGTCCCGCCTCGAACTGTGCCCTGCAATGAAGTATACTTCGTAGGACAACTGTGATTGAATCTTATCTGAACTTGATCGACACAAATCTCGTGTAACTAGAGGGGCTATGCAAGTTCCAAATTCATTGAGTTTAAAAATACGGACGTTGACTTCATCGAGGCCTTGTAGCAAACGCGGCCAGGTATACATGTAAAACATTGTTTCTTCCTTACAGATTAACATAGCCACTCGCACTTGTTTCGTTTTTTTGTTTGTTACTGTTAGTAGTTGAGCATTCGAAACGAAGATTTGTTATTACTCGTAACTCCTTATAATATATTATTACTTGCAACTATTTATGATTGATTAGTTTATGTTGTAATAAAAACTTAGGGCAATAACAAAAAATAAATCTTGATGCGAACACGATTCTTCAACGTAAGCAAATCTATCTTTATTCTCTGAGGCTTCTATGTATAATTTCACAAAAGTGAATTGAGACTGGATAATACCCATCTAACTAAGTGAATTAGCTCATGTCAGGTACGGCACCTGCATTTATTGTGGAGCTAGTCAGTCAGGTGACTGACTCTCAATCACCTGATTGCTCAGATGCATGCCAAGCATAACCCTGGCATCCATGTCTGCGAGATGGATACGGATGCAACTTAAGCAACAATTACACTCATTTGAGACCCTGAACAACCTCCAATAATTTTTCCAATGCCGTCAAATTTCAGTCATAGGGACGCCGCGCCGAAACCCGAATCCAAATTCTCCAAACAAACAGCCCAAATCCAGAACTTCTTCTCAATTCCCGCGCCAATAAAAACACTTTTCGATTTCGTTCCAGTTCTAGTATATCCTCCAAACGAGCTTCCGCAGCGTGCGCCAAAGCCTTCGAGGATACCAACTTTATATGTGTTTAGTAGAGAAGAAGATATAGCGGCAGGACGCCCAAGTTTCAATCCTGGGTGTCTGAAATGGCAGGTCAGTAGTGGAGATGGAACTAAGGGTTATTTGAATTGTTGACTGACTTCTAGAGTAGGCATTTCTGAACATTGCCGGTGTAAAGCACAGGTTAGCAGCTTCGAGTAACCATGCTTCTCCTTCAGGTCAATTGCCCTTCTTATTACCTGCCGCGGATACGTCGAATACGAACTTATTGCCGGTACGGTCAAATCAATTGGTGAAATATGCGGAGGACCATGGGGGATATGTGGAGGAATCTACGAGTATGCGCTATGAAGCATATCGATCCCTTCTCGACCACCGCATACGAAATGCCTGGGTATGTTTTACGAATTCACAGTTTACATGTTTCTTTCTAACATTATATAGCTATATACCCTCTACCTCGAGCCCTCAAACTTCTCCGCAGTCGCATATCCCTTATACGTAGCCTCGGCGTCCTCCAACCCTTTAGTACGCGCCTCCCTATCACACCAACTCCGCTCAGCGGCCGAAGCTGAGCTTCTCAAAAACTCTTCCATAATCGATATAGACGATTTATACAGTGAGGCGGATAAAGCCTTCGAGGCCCTCTCAATATTACTAGGCGATGACCAATGGTTTTTTGGCTGCGACAAACCTACGTTATTTGATGCGAGTATATTTGCATACACACACTTACTGCTGGATGAGAAGATGGGATGGAAGGAGCAGAAGCTGTGTAGGACTTTGAAGAGGAGGGAGAACCTTGTAAAACATCGGAAGAGACTTGTTGTAGCTTATTTTGGGGGTTGAACACAGTACACCTGGTCAATCATTTGATTATGGTGCTAATCACCACTCTAGGCTATGAATCTTGAGAGATGCCTGGGCTTTGATCGCCACTTTAGACATGGGACATCCTCATAGAATATTTTTATCCTGAATCAAGTTGAGTCGCTGCGAATTTCTTTCTGTGTTGCCATTTGAACCAAAGAATCCGATGACTACGCACTTGTAACGAGCGGTCATGGGGAAAACCAAAATATTTGGGAGGAAAGCGACAAGAAGAATGTAGAATTTATCAGTATGTAGAACTGTCCAAGGCGAGTTTTTAAGCGAGACAAAATATCAATGCAGCCATGATATAATATACACTTCTCAGATTGAGAATAACAATATCAATTGTAAACTCTAACAGAAATATCTGCCAAAATCAATAGTCTGGATCTTTCTAGTATACATAATGTAATAGTACAATCTAATGAGCGAACCGACACCTTCGTCCACCATTTCCATTACATCCCGATTCCCAAACGAATGACAATACCTTCCCCTTCCAATCCTCCTAGTATACATAATAATACAATCTAACCACCCTCGCACCCCAAGTCCCTACTCACTCACACACACACTCACTGACCAACCCACCCCCTCCCATCCCACGTCTTCCCATCAAACTTCCAATCCCACGCATTCCCATCCCACTTCCCACCCCCAACCTGTCCTCTCACCACACCCCCCGGATACCCCTCCGTCTTCACATCGACATAGTACTTCCCGGGGTTCTCCTCGAACTTCGTCACATTAAACCTCTCCCCCTTCGTACCGTTAAAGGGTCCCGTCATGCACCCCTCTGAGGTCCTGAGCTTCGAATCGTAGGGGTTCGTGCTGTTGCTAACGAGGTTGGGGAATGAGAGGGTCACGAGACCGGGGCGGTTTTGGGGCGCGTAGGAGAGTTGGGTGGAGGTTTTGTTGTGGTAGTTGGGCGAGGAAGGGGGCGGGGTGGTGTAGTTTCCGGGGGTGTTTTGGAGGGTGATTTTCTGGGGGTTGTTAGTACCTTTTCTCTTGTCTTTTTCGCTTTTTTACATAAACGTCGTTCTGGAGATGGTATGCGGGGGATGGGAGGGATGAGAGGGAGGAAGTTACATAGCAGATCTTGTTCTCCCCCGAGTTCACGGCGAAGGAATAATATCCCACTGCGTCGTCGGGGCCGGGGAGTGGGTATGTCCCGTTCTTCACGGAGGAGCCTAGGGCGATGACGTGGTGGTAGGATGTGAAGTTTTGCTTTTCGGTGTTGGGGTAGATTATGGAGGACCAGCCGCCTGCGGGGGCGGGGTACTGTTGTGGGTGTTAGTGGTGTGTTTGTGATGGTGAGGGAATGGGGAGGAGGGTGTTGTAGTAAATTATTTACCTTGACGGAGGACCATCCTCCTTGGGGTGCGCCGAGCTGGGTGGATGAGGTTAGTTGAGTTTGTAATTGGGAGGGGAAAAGTATGAAAGGGGGGACTGGTATGGTTCGAAGTCCATTATCATTCCTTTGGAGGATTGGAGGGTTCGGGATCTAATACGTACTGTCATGTTCTCCCAACCTTCGGCTGGAGAATCGTACTGAGAAGAGGAGGTTAGCTTTGTGGATCGGGAAGAAAGTGTTGTATTGGAAGCACTCACCTTGCTAGATTTCCATGTATTTTTCGGTATCTCATACTATACAACGATCAGTTGTGTGATCTAATGGAAACGAAAACGTAAAGTATGGCGAATACAAGGCTATTGAAAAAACAGAGTATATTCAAAAGCCCCGGAAATATTGGAGGAACAAAAAAAGACATACATTGACACCATTCCATTCATATGGAAGAGCCGAAGTGGTAGCCAAGAAGGTGGCAACTGCAGCAAGGAAAGAAGTCTGCATTTTGAAAATGTGTATCTTGTAAAATCCAATGGACAAGTGAAGTATCAAGTTTCTCGTCGTATGAAGAAGTTGATGATAATGTTTGGGAAAAAGGAACTGACAGAGGAACAAGACATCTTCTTATATCCCATCATGATGCCTCCTCCGCGTCCCAACCATGAACATTCGATTTCGTAATCTCTTTCCTAAACTCCTCGTCCGACGCGTACGTACCATCATCACCCTCACACAGGAGATCCAAAATCAACTCTCTCTATCCCACAAACTCGCCTCCTCACCGAGGAGAAATCTGCCCGAAAACCAAAACCAAAACGCAATCCCGCATCAACCAACCCTCCGGATAAGATTCTAGTCCACGCATCCATCATATCTAGTAATCTTACAGTATCATGACAATCCTCCCAACATGCAACCTCACACTCCATCCACCACCACCACCCTCCTGTCAATCCAAAAGAGCCCGCTACGTCACGACCAGAAAAATATCGAGAGCTAGACTGCGGAGGTGGATGTGGAGGATGGGCGTCCGGAGTCTAGGCGGATGGGTTGGGGAGATCGTCAGGAAGCGAGGGGAGGGGCACCAGGGGGGTCCGTTATGTGTGGCTGGCGGTTAGTTGGTTAGTTAGTTAGTGCGGGATTTTTTCTTCTCGGTTAATTTTGTTCCGATGGGGTGGGGGGATATCGTTTACTTACTTACACATGTAGATATTTGAGGAGAGAAACTGGTATCAGCAAATGCATGTTACTGTAATCATGATGAATTGAAGATCATGAAATTATACAAGAATCATAGGTTATCCGTAAGCGCCGAGTATTTAGTTAGTTTGTGTGGATTCTTTTTTCGCGTTTAGCTTCGATCCGCGTGTGGGGGAGGAAGAACATCGTTTACACATTTGAATTTCGAAGGGGGAGAAACTGGTATCAGCAACGCCTTGTTTTTTCTCAATTCCTATGATTAGAAATCAGAAAGAAGGAAGGGGGTATCCGTATGCACCAGTCGATGCTATGTATTTGAAATACTTCTGCGTCACGCTTTTCGTTCATGTCGGGAAGATGTGTATTAGAAGTAGAAGGAACCTCGATACCTGACGGACATTGAGCTAGCTTGTGTACCACTTATGAATATATTCCTTGACGAACCAGATAGAAACACCTCCGATGCTGGTCATCATAAGTATTTTACCTCGATTTCCTCATTGCCATTAAATTCCAACATAGAAAGCGTCACAATGCGGCTTCGAAAAGCATTCAGGAACGGCTACAAGGAGGACAGCAACGATCTCAGGTACTCCAGTACATCACTCTGGCTGGAACTGCAACTAACACTCCTCATAGAGCGAACTAAACACCATTCTCAACGAAGTAGACAGATCCTTTAGCAACACAGCTCTAGATTCGGGACAGTCAAAGTACCAGAACGCATCAATAGCGAAGAACCTTACTATCACCACAGATCCCCCAGTAAGACAAAAGACAATGATCCATGGGTTACCGCACAAATCAAACATTCAATTAACATTCAATTAACATCCTTCTATATCTAAGATTGTCTAAGTACCCAAAGAATCCCATTAAGACCAGCGTAGATAATTCGAGTAGTTAAGTCAAGTAGTGGCACCTACTTAACTTAACTCGAGTAGTGAAAACCACTAATCAACCCAATTCGCTAGGTACTTAATTAAATTATAAGTAACTCGTGTAGTGTCGGCCCGATTCCCCGTAGCGCATCCAACTCGCTAGCCGGGCTCCGGTCGGTCGGTTCGCGTATATTAACTTAGCTAAGTGCCCCTCCTAGTAGACAAGAAAAGTAGTAGAGATCTCTTTTATCTTATCCTAACTTAACTAAAAACCACTATATTATATTATCTATTTAGAACAATTAAAATGATTTATCGAAAACGATAGTATAATAAGGGTAATTATTCTAGATATTTTAAATATTTTAGTACTTGGAATTAACTTACGTTAATAGTTTAAAAAAAAAATCTTTACTACTTTTCTTGTCTACCGGGAGGTGCCCCTATCTTAGGCATATACTGTATCCTTAGATCGTAGTCACGTTATATATAACTACTCGAGTGGTACTCGAGTAGTTGAACCTACTCCTCAACTTAACAGAATCACCTAATTATACGTATTTAACTTAACTCGAGTACTACTCAAGTTGAGTTAAGCAGTTGAGTAGTTTTGTGTTAACGCGAATTAAGACTACTAGTAACTAACCAACCTCATTTCACTCCCATACCTCTCAGCTCTTATTCTCGTACCCCCGAAAAGCATGATGAAGAAAAAATGTTTAGTTCCTAAACTTGTCAGTCATGCAAGCCTCTATATATACTGAAGGGGATCAGTCCCATTAAGTAAGTAATGAACCAAAAACACTTCCCCTTTAACCCCGCCTCAAACCCCCATCCCGGGATCCTGAATATACCAATCATGAATCACAGTACTGATTCCGCTCTTGCCTATTCCCAAAATTGTTGAAGAAGAAGCAGCAGCGCAGGTATCCACATCCCTCTGCCTTCTCCCTTGAAAATATCGATGAATCCCACGACACGTTACGATCCAGCTCTACAAACCATTCAAAATCGCCATTCTTAACGTTGAATTCTACGAGGGAAACAAATATGCCTCCGACAACACTGGTAGAAAAGAAAGCCGAGTGGGTGTCGGTATAAGTGACCTTGTTGCTACTGTGCCATACACCGTCTGCTACACATCATTCCCCTCCCTCCCCTTACTACTAGTATCCAATATCCTACAACCCACAACCAACAATCCAACAAGAACCCCCCAAATAAGTATCAACCACACCACCATCCCTCCACCCATCTTCTTCGCCTTTTCCTTTCCCTTTCACCCTCTACAAGTACTACCCAATCCTCCCAACAACCCCACACACAAAAAGCCAACATACATTACCTATCCCAGATAACCCACCAGAATCCCCACTACCCTCCTAGTACCTCCTCCCTACCTACCAGAAGATGAACTTCCTACAGTACCTTACCTCTCGTCGCTATAGAACCCAACAATCCCATCAAGCCCATCAAGCTACCTATCCCACCATCTCCCACCCGATCCAAACCCACCGCACCGTCTAGTATTCTATAAAGTAGTATTCTCGTTCTTACATAAACTCTCCCCTCTTTCCTCCTCTTCCTTCTTTACATCTTCCTTATAACCTCACTACCTCCTACCCTCCAAGCCTTCCCCTAATACCTTCTCTACCCCCAACCCCTCCTCTAAAAACAAAAAGTAAAAATCATATAAAAGAAAAGGGAACCAACCCATCACCTAAATCCAAACCCCCCTTGAAATTAAAAAACTTCCGGAACATTCCCCTTATATTTTATTGAAATTCAACATCCCCTTCTTTTTTTTCTTTTTTTAAAAAAAAAAAAGATTCAAACAAACAAAGAAAGAAAGAAATAAATAGCCCGAAAAAAATTATTAATTTATATAGTGACCCTCCCCCAACACTACGCACTCCTTCATGTAGATACAAACACCAACTCCACTCACTCGACTAGGTACAAACAACAACTAATATACCACCCTCCCATACCCCTAACAAATATACTCCCCAACACATCTCACATCATATAATCACTCATTAAAAGAAAAAAAAACATACGCATACTAACACACAAGACATTCACTAAAGAACTTTCTCATACCACAAACCAATAACATTTTTTTTGCTACAAAAAGTATACTGTATCTTATCTTCCGCTGTCTCCCCATCCCAAGAATAAAAAGGAAAAAGGAAAAAGGAAAAAGGAAAAAGAGGAAAGAGAGGAAAGAGAGGAAAAAACCAAGACCATCCACATCACACAATTCCCATACACTCCAAATGAAAACCCAAAAGAGCCGGATTTCATTTCTCTCATACCTCGCTTCCTGGCTGGTGGTAGTAATCATATAACGAAACAAAATGTAAAAATGTAAAATATCAATTTCAAATCTGCTCATCCTATTTCAAGGTGTGAGAGAGGATAAAAGAGACACAGGCCACCCTAGCCCAAATATCGGCCTCGCAAGCAAAGCAATCAACTATGGCGCCCCCAGGAAGCAAAAATCACACACCGCACCCACCCCAAACTCTCCTTCGCGTAAGCCTAAACAAAATCGCAAAACCCATGAATACAATCCAAGGTTATTTGCAATATCTCCTGGTAGAATGGACACCCCCCGGTTGTGTGAAGGAACAAGAAATGAATGATGTACTTTGTCTCTCGATATTAGGGATCCGATAATTTCGTTCGTCGTAAAAATGGTAAAAAGGAGGACAATATGCACAATCGAATGCAATATCAAATTGACACGGGAACAAATGAATGATTGGATATCAAACAGGGATCTACCCTGTTGATGATCTTGTCGAGAATCTCTTAGAATTGGGAGCTCTTACGTTTCTCAGCCGAGGAGAGAACGAGCATGCCACCCTTTCGTGGACCACCCTCTGCGGTGGCTACCTCTGCCTTCTTTCCTCCATTCTTGAAGACTGCTGCAAAGCTACCTCCAACGGATTGGCCCTCGTCACCACTGACGCTACCAGCGGTGAAGCTACTGTCGAATGACGCAACCGATTTGCGCTCGAGCGAGTGTTCCTTTTGTCGGGATGACGGGCGATCAGAACCAATCGCGCCATGGGCGGAAGTACGGGAGCTGCCAAGGCTTGGTCTTCCAGAAAGGCTTCCACTTCCACTGCGACCGCTGTCAGAATCGTTGTCGGATGAAACCGTGTAGTTCCGCTCCGCAGCTTCCGAGACTGGAGACATGCTACCGGCACTGTCTGGGCTTCTGCGGCGTTCCACTCCAGCACGAACCAAGTTGTGAACCGCATTTCGGCGGGTACGAGCTGCAAAGTTCTTGCTTCCCTCAAACTTGGTAGTTGGCTTGGCGATCAACTCATCCAATGGTGGTGGACCACGGGGTTGTCGGATAGGGTGCTCACCAGCACGAGCTTGACCAGGACCAAATCCAGGGGCATTTGGTGTTGCTGGGAAACCTGCGGTCTTTGGGAGCATGGCCGATCGAGGGGCGTCAGCCACTGGAGATTCATCAAGCGTAGTACCCTTGCGGTGTCCACGCCGGAACGCACCTGCGGATGGTGGTGGCAATGGAGCATGGCCCTGTGGTGGGGATGAGGCCTTCTTTGGTGGGCTGATGCTGCGATTGTAGCTTGAAGTCTCGTGGTTGGGTGGAGGAGGCGAAACTTGGAGTCTTGGTGTACCCGGCTGTTGGGGTGGAGAGTATTGAGCTTGAATAGCAGCAGCTTGCTGAACCATCTGCTCCTGAATGTAGTGGGCGGCTTGGCCAGTGTGGTCCATGAAGTAGCTTTGTTGACCGGTAGCTGGATTGAAGTACGAGTAGACACCAGGCTGAGCTCCCATGACTGGAGCAATGATGGGTTGCATGTTTTGCTTCATTTGCTGCTGTTGATACATGTTTTGTGGAGTGATGGGAGGAGTAGCAAATTGCTGCTGTTGCATACCCAAGCTCATGCCTTGGAACTGTTGGGCGGCATGTTGGACGCTCATCAATTGTTGCTGGAGTCGCTGTTGCTGTTCCGCGAGGTACATGTTGGTAGCCACGAGTTGAGCATACAAGTTCGGATCCATCTCTTGCTCGGTCTGCTCATCGAGAACAATCTCTGGTGGAGCGAGAGGAGCCATGATTTGCTCCGCCACTGGATACATTTGACGCTGGTTGTTCACCTGACCGTAACCATTGGTTTGCGGTTGCTGTTGTTGTTGTTGTTGCTGGTGTGGGTAGCTCGTCTTGGGACCGGCGTAGGATTCCTCATTGGCATACATGCTAGCGCCAAGTCCGGTGTTGTGTTGCAACTGTGTTGGTGGTGCGGTGGAAGGAAAGGCACCGGTCGTGGCAGACTTGGGAGCAGTTCTCAATCCAGCCAGCAAGTGGGATCGTGAAGTGCGAGGGGTTGGGGCACCATTGTCTTGAGGATCCAGTTGCTTGGATGGTTGGAAGTTGAGACGTTTGAGCGTGGCCCCGTTTGCTCGTCGCGAGGCAAAACCTGAACCGGGCAAACCCAATCCATTGCTGGATGGGAAGTTGTTGCCGTTGTAAGACATCTGAGCAAGACCGCCTGCGTCCATACTCTTGATTTCGATGTGGTAGGGTTAGGTGGGATTGCGGGAGCGTTGAGGGGTGTTGTGGGGGTGGAGGATATCGACGGCGAGAGAGTGAAGTCGGTCGATGGAGCAGAGCTCAACAGGTGAGCAATCGGGATTGTATTAGAGGAATTAGCTGATCGATGTGAAAGCGATCGAAGAAATTTGTATCAAGACAGGAAGAATTATGTAGTGTTGTAAGGAGCTCTCGGTGCTGAGCAGAGGCAAGCCTTTGACGCGGGCAGCAGTTGGGAAGTTTGAGAAGAAGTTGGGAAGGGTTGTAAAGAATAGCTTTTTTGTGCTTTCGCAATCCAAGAGAGGTCGACGTCGACAAAAACCGGGGGAGAGAGACCCGTGGGGTGAGAGAAACGAAACGCGTCGCTGGTGACTATGAAGTTCGTCGAGGAAATTACAAGAGGGAGGAGATTTCTATCGTACGAGCGGCGAGCGGAAGTCGGGAACGTGTCGGGGTGCTGGTGCTGGCTGGGTGCTTTTTGGTGCTGGTCAGGGGATTCTTGGGACAGAAGGCGCGATGCTCTGCAATCAACAAAGAGCGACCGAAGAAATGGATGGAAAGGCAAGAGCGTACGAGGACGGGGGGAGGGGGAAGGGTTTGTTGGATGCTATGCTGGTGGGTTGAAAGGTGAAAGAAGAGAGGAGGGAGAACAAGGTGGAAAGAGCGACCGTGTATCTTGCGATGCAGAAGGCGGTTGCGAGGTGGTGCGTTGCTGGTACTTGAGGGACCTCCCGAGGAACAAAGGGCGCTTTACTGGGACCCTCTCAGCCTGGGCACCACTGGGCAAGCCCCCGAAGTCCACGGAGACAGTGGGGCGATGGACAAAGTTAGGACACGACAGGGGTCGATGCTTTATGCAGAAGGGGGTGACGGGGGTGACGGGGGTG